CAGCCCCATAAAACTGTCTCCATGTTCTTCCAACCCAGTTCACTGGCCCCCACAATCCAGCCTTCTGCTTCCAACGCCAGCCTTCTTTGGTCTCCCGACAGACTGCAAAGGGATCCTACATCACTTCTACCCCAAGGCCGAATCTAGCCATCTTGGACGAACTCATTCAGAAGAGGAAAAGATACCAAATCTTTCCCCAACTCCATGAAGAACAGCCCAGCTTCTTACACTAAACCAAAAAGTGGGCTTCCTTTTACCCCTCCAAACCACCTGGCATTTTAGCTCTTGTTAGGGATGGGCAAAAAAGCCGCAGTGTGTTTTCAAGCCCAGAACAGAACAGCCCCACTCCAAATGTTTTATCAGAACATCCTCCTTCAATCAGGACGAAACTCAAAAGACCTCCGTTGTCTTCTGCCTTGGAACAAAACTCTTAGAATGTGCATGTTTGTTCCAAGCTTGGAACACTCAAAAAAGCCGTCTCAGGGTTGAAATCTTTTGCACACCTTCACCCTCCACACTCGTAAAAAACAAGCTAGTACTTACAAGCACACCCCTGTTCCATTTTGATAGGTTTCACACTTTCCTCCATTCAAGCAGGATTCAGAAGGCTGGGTACATCGCAAACCTGCAAGGAGAGGACACAGATTATTTCTAAGCATTTGTGAAGCTCAGTTGTGGGATGGAAGACGTAAAGAGAGGCACCTACTTCATGTAGGATTTAATACAGCTTTTCCCCACTTAACTCCCCAAACACTGAGCCAAACCTAGAATGGGGGTTAATGACCAGTACACTGGGAACACATCAGGTTAGGGAAAGTTAGGGTCAGGATGTTAGCAATCTTCACACACCTAGCATTTCAGTATCCCTCGTTTTTGTAAAACCGTAGGGCTTTACTATTTCAATTTAGCAGACTTCTGATTTAATTTTCTTTCAGACATCACTCCAACACACTCCATTATATCCAAGGTAGTACAAACAATTCATTACGTTTTTAAGTAAGGATGGCATTAGGCATACAATGGCAATGGATGCAAATAACCTAAATTTGGAGTTAATGAACATTTGGGTTTAACAGACATTCCTCCACCAAAACAGTCCACAAAACAGAAGATTTATTTTACGAATTCAAGTGATCTCAAAAATACAGTGCTTCAACTTCTTCTTCCCCCAACTAACAGCCACCCGAACTGCCCCACACCTGTTTTACAGACAGGAACCCAAAGGTAAGTCTAAAGTTAAGTTTCCAGGACATGAATCATAATCTGCCTTCTTAAATATGTGCTTTTCAGGTGACTTCCACATCATGCAGAGTCATAATTGGAACCGGAGTCTGCTGTAGCAGTAATTCAGTTTATAAAGTCACCTGATTAGAAAGCTATCCTACAGAATTGTCTGCTACACACCAAGGAAAGCATTTTAAGAGTTCGAGTGCCTTTTCTTCAGCTTTATAAACGATTGCGTAAATGGCCATCTGTAGTTTGCCGCTGCCCCTCCCAGGACAGGGTCCCCCCCCCTTCCTGACTCTACGTGGTCTTGGCTCTGCTTAGCTTTCCAGAGATCAACCAAGTTGGCCGAGGGGTCAACTAAGAAATCTACCCAGGAAACTCCAGCTTAACATAAAAAAATATTAGCAATATCTCTTCTGGAGATCTCTCTCTGGACAAGGCACATGGAAAGGAAAAGTTGCTTCACAGGATGAACTGGCATTATGGGATGGCAATTGGGAGTTAGTCAAACAGAACAGGAGAGGTCCAACCATCCACTGTGATTCCACCAAACCTCATTTGAGATTCTGACACCCACAAAGTCCAGCGTGTTGGTGTCTGTAATCATTTGGGATGACCACCTTAGCCAAGCTGGATGGATGCCAAGTTCTACACTTCTTTCTCAGTTCTGGAAAACTGGGTTTTGCCCTACATAAAAGAGCCACAGAGTCTCTAGCAACATCATCGTGTTTTATCATGACTGCGCAGGGGCTGACTTCACCAAATACCCCCGCCTGCGATGAAACTGGGGTTCAGTTCCTTGTCAGCCAGGGTGTTGGGGAGACCCCACCCCCACCGTACCATATTCCATGGAGCAGCCAACGGGCTAGACTCGGTTTTCCCTTGCTGGTTTGGGCGCTGTATCTTCTGTCAACAGGATAAGTGTGTTTTGTTAACCCAGAGAAGAGATTCTCTGGCTGCCTGAATCAATTCAAAATTTGTTTGGCTATCAGAGATCTCAGAAACAATTTTTCTGAACAGCCACTGGCAGGAAGAGCAGCTGACTCCAACTGGAAAGGTCATATTTTTAAAAAGGGAAGTTTTTATAAAACAGATGCAAATCACAGACAGGGTTCTAAATAGGCACACTCTGACGTGGACCACACATTGCATTAAGCCCTGGTTTAGGTCTCCATGGTTTACCCAGTTAATTGGGTTGGCACAGATTAAGCAGATTGTTATAGGTTTACCAACTATAATAGCTAGCTTTGCACAGAATCAAGCTGCATTACAGGAGCAGTGCTAGCCCTCTGAGTTGTCCAATGAAATCAAGATTTATTATTCATAAAAGTGCAATAAAGTGATGCAAAACGCCATAAACTCCTAGAGCACAGGCCTGTCCATTTTGGTTGTGCGTTAAATGCACATTTGCCTGGCTGCCTGCAATGAGGAAGAATCACTTCTAGATGACTTGGCATGGAAGCATTTGTGAACCAGAAGAAAATTAGCCTCCCTGCTTTCAGACCCTCTGTAAGAAATGAGGAAGATTCTTCGTCTTGGGGCACCCCAACAAGTGAACGACCAAACGCAGGCCGAGCAATCTTCATCTGCCTGGTAAGTACACCAAAGGCATTCAAAGGAAAATAAATAAATGGAAACTTGGATCTGAAGGCCAGCAGAACACAAAACTACTATGTTTGGCTAAAGCTTAAAAACATAGTTTCCATTTACTCAAATTTATGGTCATAGACCAAACAGCTTAAAAGCCTACCAAATGACCCATCACCACACGAATAAAATTGGAGTGAAGCCAAGCATCTCAAGGCCTCTGAGAGGATTCCTACATTACGCTAAGCCATGGTTTGCTGGAAGAGCTATCAGGGCTGGCTTGCGTAACTCACCACATAAAACCCTCCTAATCCATGATGGTTCAGCCCTGGATGCGAATCAGACCTATGGAGACCCACATGGTCCCAGGGTACAGGAGCAGGGGGGTCCGCAGGAAGGGGGGGTCAAAGAAGTCAAAATGGCGGCCGCAACAATGCAACCAAAACCCCACCCCTTTTTTATCTGTGTTGCCTGGTGGTGGCCGCCACCTTGCCTCTCGGCTGCCCTGCGCGGGAGCGAAGGCCTGGGGTTGGCTGGAGTAACGTCAAGCAAGGCGGAAGGGGCCCCAACTCATCGGGGTCTCCATCTCCACCAGAGCAGCTGGGTCACAGCCCGCTCTGCTCACTGGCTTGCAAATCAGAGCATCCCCCCCACACCTGAGCAAGAGTACAGAAGGCTGAACAGCTGGCAGAGGCCACCACCTCACGAGCGCCCCGGAGGCTCC